GAGAATCTGGAGACTTAAAACTTGTGTGAACCTGGCCTTGATTTGAGGTCTATGCCATAAGATGTCAAATTTTAGATTTCAAGTGTGTTTATGTGCATTCTACATAGACTCTTTCAAGCAATGCCGCCTTTAGCAGCATTCATTATGTAAACTGATACTAGGTACTTTATACTGAAAAATGGCATTCTCCCTGAATGTGGAACAGTTTGAGTTTTGCACTGTCATAGTGTTACCAATCTTAACCTGGCAGTCCTTTCATACTGAAGTTGTTAGCAAACACAATTGTGCTTATGCAGTATGCTTGCAAAGTGGGTTTGAGGGTTTTGAAATTATTATGGATCTGTATTGGGGTATCTTATATTTCAAATTCTCTTCATCCTCATGTCTTCTTTCTTTTTATTCTTTCCAGAGTACTCTCAATACTCTTATGGCAATTGCAGCATTGGCTTCTTGTGGTGCTATCTTTTCACTAATTCCTTCAAGAAAGCAGCATCATCATCTGTAAGTTGAAAATGTTCTTCCTTTTTGACTCTTGTGATGTTAAGTGTGGTCTGGTAGAACCTATGCCTTGTAAATATTTGTGGTGGCATCCCCTGGATAGGTTCATGTTTGTGAACCAACTAGCAATCTCAACAACCCACATCCCCCCTGGATTTTATCCTTAACTTCTCCCCTCTCAGACACCTATAAGTGGGTTGTATTATAGTGGTACAAATTCTGAACCTAGTTTGAATAAATACAACTTGAAGTTAAATTCATGGATGGAAGGTGGTGTGTAGCTATGTATAGTAGTTTCTTTAGCAGTTGATGATGGAATGTGGCCGTAACCTAATTTCAAACAAATCAACTTGACTTGAAGTTAAATGGGTGGATGAATGGTGGGTGTATTATGATTTTGTTGTAGTTGGAGGTATAACATTATGTAATAGTTATAACGAAAGATTTTACTAAAAGACAAGGAACTGCTGTTAGCTAAGTCCTCTTTATGATGCCTGGCTGTTAGTGGTCGATTCAACAGTTTCCCATGCTTTTGATTTATGTTTATGTATTTATGTGTTTGAATTTAACTTTCCGTTCTAAATGCTGAACTTTGTTTCTGCAGGGATCAATTCAGGCAGGCTATTGTACAGCCGTGTTTCTTAGTAGGTCTCCAAGAACGTATCCTAAAGAGAAGTTGTGGAATAGTCCAATGAGTCCACCGCCATGGTCAAACTCTCCTGTTGAAGGTATCATATCATTCTGTCTTACAGGGTCTTTTGCTTCTGAAGTTGATTGTACAGTAACTCATCTATTTTATTTGGTTCTGTTTGGCTGTCCTGTCACAGGTGTACTTTCAGTCTTTACCAGTTCAGGGACAAGAAACCTGGTGTACTACTCAACTTTCCACCAGACACGGTAATCGGAAGAAGTTCACAAAGCAAGAATGGGAAGATTTCACTCGAAGAATCAACCCAAAAACCTATGGCAGAACTGGCAGCAACTCCAGGATTCACTGACCGGGTCATTGAGCGTGCAGACCGTATAAAAGCTCGTTTCGAATGACAGTTCAGATGAACCAATTGGGAGCAAATCGAGTTCTATAGACGAAAGAAACTGAAGATAGCAGCAGTCAGTTTAGGTTCTTTAATTGGAACCGATGAAGTTGAAGATAACATTAACCCAGGAATTACACAAGTATATGTTAATTTAGCAGCCATTTGATATTTTCCAGAAAATTAACTAAACATGTGATGGATACGGGGAGACCGTTTACAATTTGATGTAACTTGAGTGATGTACAGACGAAGCTAGGAGAACTGCAACCATGTAATTGTCAATTTTTTGTAGTAGAGGCAGATTAGATTCGTAATACCATTCATTCCAATATTTCATGGGGCCATACCCTTTACCCAAGGGCACGAATCATTCAACAAATTCATCATCGAAGTGATCACTTATTATTAATTTTTTTTTAACAAATTTTATCAAACATCGGATTCAAACCGTTACTTTAGGAGAGAAGGAGAATACACGTATACGTGGTTTGATGTCATTAGATCGAAGGTATAAGGGCGAAGCGATTACTTATTTAATTACATGTTAAAAAGATAAATTTATAATTTTTTATGGTATTAAAACTAAAAAAATAAGGTTAAAATTTTATATAATTATAATATATAAAATTTATATACAAATAAATATATATTCATGTTAATATTTAAAATTTTAATTTGTAGAATATCTTGCTCTATCACTTTTCTCTGTATCTGCTCACTGTTTTTCCTAGTCGGTGCCGATCTAACTCCGCCGGTAATTGAATGGTCATACCCAAATTTAATCTAACACAATCCTTTCCATTTTGAATCTTTCCATTTTGGATCACTCTCTCCCATTCTCCTTCTCAATGCCTTGCACTGATTTTCTAGGCTTCTTGCCTTCTTCTCTTCTCTATATCTTCATATCCAGCTTTGGCTTTGCAATTGAATCATCATAGCTTCTTCCTAGTAGAGAGATTCAAC